TAATAATAATAAAAAAATCTTGTGTGGCCCTAATACTCCGTCATAATTTAAAGCGAAGAAGAGAGAAACAAAAGATAAAGAACCTACAAAACATGTCAAAGTGCACAACTATGCTACACTTCTTGTACAGTTCACATGTTGAAYAAGAGTGGGAATAAGTTTATACCTCTTTAACCCCTAACAGTTGCCGCTGAAATTCCTTTAAGTTCTTTTGACATTTTTTTTTGTAAGGATGTCAAACTAAAAGTAAGAACCGGAGGAAGATGTCTGACACCCTAGTTTTCAAAATAAAAGCCCCCCAGTGGTGGTAGTAGTAATTTGGTATTATTTTGTTTATCAGTGTTATTAACTTGCAAACATTCACCTTTAAATTCTTTTGTATCTTTATATATTTTTCTCTTTTTTCACTTACAGATATGGATTAGTGCATACAAATTTAGCACATTTTAAATATTTTTGGCTCTAATTTATTTTTGCCTTTCTAAATTCTGCTGCACTTTTTTATGGATGATAAGGTTGATGTATTTCTCAGGGTCGAACGTTAGGTGACAGCACGGCCGGTCGACGTCGCAGGCGGAGCTTTATGCATCCTAGTGTTTTTGACGACGACACTGTGGACTTCCCCGATGAGCTGGATACTTCCTTCTTCACCAGAGTGAGACACCGCCACAATAAAATAAGCTTCATCGATGCAGCGGTTGTAGTTGTCCTTATTTTGTGCATTTTTCTGTTTTTTAACCAAATATCAGATAAAAAAGGAAAACATTTACTAATATAAAAATGTATTAAGCTAAATAGAATTTATCTATATTTTATTGGCTCCTTGAAGCACATCAAATTAATGAGCACACATCATACTCAATGCTGCATCATTTTTTTTAGTTTGTTTGAAATACCTGCTGACATAGTTTCCYTACGTGCAGGAGGAGCTGTCCAGTTTTGCTGATGATGTTTTTGAGACGCCATCAGAGGCCGACCTCAAACAGCTGGATGAGAGCGTGCTGACAGGAAGTGCGCTGGATAGGAGCAAACTGGAGCYGAGTCATCTCATGCTGTGGGTTAATAATTTCATTAAAAGTAACAATATTAAATTACAATAGATAGAAAAAGTCTACACACCCCTGTTAAGTTCTAGTTTTCTGTGATGTAAAAAAAATATGAATCCAAGATAAATTCTTTCACGACTTTTTCCACCTTTAATGTGAGCTATAATCTGTACAACTCAATTGGGGAAAAAGAAAATCTTTTGTGGGAGGAAAGTAAAAATAAATAACTAAAATAAGGTGGTTGCKTAAGTGTGCACAACCACTAATAGAAGCACCTTTAGACTTTATTWCAGCACAATCTTTTTGGGCAGGAGTCTACCAGCATGGCGCATCTTGATTTGACAATATTTACCCACTCTGCTTTGTAAAAATGCTCCAAATCTGTCAGATTACAAGGGCCTCTCCTGTGCACAGCTCTCAGATTTTCTATGGGATTCAGGTCTGGACTCTGACAATCCCAAAACTTTAATCTTCTTCTTGTGAAGTCATTCTTTTCTTGATTTGGTCATTGTCGTTCTGAAAGACGACATTTCTCTTCGTCTTCAGCTTTCTAGCAGAAGCCTGGAGGTTTTGTACCATTTATCTGGTATTTGGAGCTGTTCACAATTCCTTCCAGCAGTCCCAGCTGAAGAAAAGCAA